TCTGTATTGTGACAATGTGATGCTGATATCCCTCCACTGAGGGATATCTTTTCCCTTCCTTTAAGTATGTGTGGACCAGTGACTATGGCACAAGGGACACTGTGTGGCTTCTGGAGCTGAGTTATAATAGGTATTTCGACTGATCCCTGGTCCTTTTGGGATGCTCACTCTTAGAGCCCAGCCACATGCAAATCTGTGAGCATGTATCCCAACCAGAGACCCAGTGGAGGTCCCAGCTGACAACCAGCATCCACCACCACACCTGAGCAAAGAGCCTGCAGGTGATGCAGCTGCCAGCTTTCCCCAGGCTCCTCAGCTGCCTCAGAGTGCAGTGGAGATGAGCTGTCCCTACTGAGCTTTGCCCAAATACTGACTCATGAGCCAAAAATATTGTTGTTTAAACACACAAATGTTTGTAATCATTTGTTACACAGCAAGCGATAACTAGAACATAATTTACACAGATGGTATGAGTCCTTTACTAACATTCAATATTATGTCTGTGTGATTCTTCCATATTGTTGCATGTAGTTGCATATTGTTCATTTTTATGGCTTTAGAGTACATGATTACATGAATAATATACAATTTACATGTTCACTGAATGTTGACAGACATTAGTTGTTTCTAGTTCAAGGCTATTAATAAGAGCTTAATAGCCAGACATTCTAGTACATGCCTTTTGGTAAACAAAGCATGTATTTTTGTTGTGTATGTACCTGGAGTTGGAATTGCTGTGTTATAGAGTATGACTGTGTTCTGCTTTCATATTGTAGTTACTGTTAAAAGATGGCTAATGTTTTTTCTAAAACAGATATTAAAATCACTTTTCCAGATGTGTCTATGGACTGACCTGGAGTTCAGGGAGAGAGGTGAGATAAGAGGTGTCTTAGTCATATCTAGAAAAGACTTGAGGTCAGAACTGTTGGATTTATTCGCTCTGTCACCCCAGGACTTAGGAGACTTGCAAGGACATAAACTTAACAGCATCACTTTGCAGAATGGGAGCTTTCTGGGGGAACATGACCATGGAGAAGCCCTTTGTGATCTTCCTCTTGGTGCTTCCCCTTTGACTTATCTGTGAAGACACAAAAGTAAAAATTTGGCTTTATCTTTAGAAGCTATCATTGCCACGGTCGAATGAAGTTTCTTATAGGTATTCCATATTAAGAAGGTTCTTAACCATAAGCTCTGCCCTCTAAATATCCCAGCGAAAGTAGGAAAAGGCTAAGTTGCCCTTCAGTTTACATTCTAAATTAGGGGTGTCGAACTCAATCAGAGAAGGGGCCAAAATCTAAAATCCAGCCTAAATCGCGGGCCGAATGGTTTACTGAACAGTCATAAACTGTCATTGTGATGGAAACGCAGCAGAGTGCAGTGATGACAGCGCGGTGCGGGCCACATTGCAAGGCCTGGCGGGACGGATTTGGCCCGCGGGCCTTGTGTTTGACACATGTGTTCTAAATGAAAATCAAACCCAACAGGTGTAGGGGTCTGAGATGTGGATAAAGGAGAGAGAAGAACCTGGGAGAGAAAGAGAGAGAGAGAAAGAGAGACTGAGAAGAAAGGAGCAATGAGAAAGAAGAGTAGAAAGATGTGAAAGAGGAGAAAAAGCAACACCTCATAAAGATTGGTCAGCACCTTGGTGTATGTACCTGGAGTTGGAATTGCTTTTACGTACTTTGGAAATATTTCACAAAATAGCCGAAGCCGGTTTGGCTCAGTGGTAGAGCATCGGTCTGCGGACTGAAAGGTCCCAGGTTCGATTCCGGTCAAGGGCATATACATTGGTTGCGGGCACATCACCGGTAGGGGGTGTGCAAAAGGCAGCTGGTTGATGTTTCTCTCTCATCGATGTTTCTAGCTCTCTATCTCTCTCCCTCTCTGTAAAAAAAAAAAAAAAAAAAAAAAAAATCAATAAAATATATTTTTTTAAAAAAGGAAATATTTCACAAAATAATGAACTTGAAGGGTTCTTGTGAGCCTCAGTTTCCTCATCTATAAAATAATGCAATTTTATTATCATCTACCTCCTTTTGTTATTATGAGAATTCATTGAGATGCTTGATGGCTATAAGTTCCTTACTAGGTGTACCAGTTAATAATGTGGATTTTTTTTCAATAGATGGAGTTACACATATGTTGATATATATGCGATTTGATATGTATGCTATTTTGTTTTATTGACAGCAAGTTCAAAACTTCATACGTCAAATTTGCTGAAGGTGTTAACATCATAGATATTTTTACACTTAAAAATGCCAAATTTCATACCAAAAAAGAGCATTTGTTAGAAGCTTTAATTTATTATTTTGAAGAAAAAGTTATCTTATACTTCGGAAAGCTTATGGTGAACATGCTCCATCTCAAGATACTTGTGAACGCTGGTTTAAACACTCTAAACATGATAATTTTGATGTGAAAGACAAAGAATGCCCAGGTCAACTGAAAAAGTTTGAAGACCTACAATTATAAGCATTATTATTGAATAGATGAAGAAGCGTGTCAAACTAAAAAACAACTTGCAGAAAGATTAAACATTGCTCAGCAAACAATTTCCGATTGTTTACAAGCAATGGGAAATATTTTAAAGAAAGAAAAATGGGTGCCACATAACTGAATGAAAGACAAATGGAAAACTGAAAAGTCATCAGTAAAATTTTGCTTCAACGGCATGAAAGAAAGTCTTTATTGCACTGAATTGTGACTGGTGATGAAAAGCGGATTTATTTTGGGAATTCCAAATGCACAAAATCATGGGTTGAACCAGGTCAACCATCAACATTGACTGCAAGGGCAAATCACTTCAGAAAGAAGACCATGCTCTGTGTTTGGTGAGATCAGGAAGGTGTGGTGTATTATGAGCTTCTAAAACCAGGTGAAACCATTAATATTGATTGCTACTGACAACAAATAATCTATTTGAACCATGCTTTGATCATGAAATGACCAGAATGTTCCAGAAGACATGGCAAAGTAATTTTGCTTCATGATAACATACCATCACACACTTCAAATCCAGTTAAAGACATGTTAAAAGATCTTGCCTGGGAAGTATTAACCCACCCGCTGTGTTCACCAGACCTTGCTCCTTCAGATCACCACTAGTTCCGATTGATGACACACACACGTTCTGAGCAGCACTTCAAAATGTACGGAGAAGTGGAAAATTGGGTCTCTGAATAGTTTGCCTCAAAACAAGAAAAGTTCTATTGGGCGGTATCCACAAATTACCTGAAAGATGGGGAAATGTGTAGCTAGCAATGGACATTACTTTAAATAAAGCACTTTTGATGTTCCTCTTGAAATTATCTTTTCTTTGATTACAAAATCCACCATTATTAACCGGTATACCTAGTATATCAGCACTTGGGGTAGGGTGGTAAATGCTTCATTAATGTAGTGAATGTTAAAATTCTACACAGATAGTGATCTATATAGATGGTAAATAAATCTTCATCTGATCAACAAATAACATTTTCCTCTGGAAAATATTTTCGTTGACATTTTTTGATACTACTGTACAATGTAATTGTTGCAAATATGGAGGTATATGAGACATTCTGGAATCCTGCAGAGTTCCAGGGCAGGGCTAGGGTCACCATTTGCCATGGGCAGTAGAGTCTATTGGTCAGAAGCTTATGCTCTGCTGGGGTTCTAATCCAAGCTCTGCCACTTGCCAGCTGCATGACTTTGGGTGAGTTCCAAGCCTCTCTGAGCATCAGTTTCTCATCTGTAAAAGGAAAATGATAACAGTATCCATTAAATAGAGTTGTCAAAGCTAAATACAGGTAGATAGGTGAAAACTTGAGCAGGTCTGGGCACATAGCTAGCACTCAATACTTAGCCATTACATTTGCAGTGAAGGGATAGATCAAAGTCATGTTCATTAGGAACTCTGGTTAAGTGAATGCTGAAAACCATTTATTCCAGGCCAGACCAAAGGGGATGTAATGTGGACTAATGAATCTTCCCTGTCCTGCAAACTCAACCCACAGTGCTGATGGCATGTATCAGGATGAGACAGGGGACACATGGCTCATCTTGGGAAAGTTGTAATGAGCACTGAACACAGTTGTCAGACAATCGGGAGGCAAGCCCTCATGCCAGGATTTGGTCAATGGAGGGCAGCATCTTCTGAAAGATTTGCATTGGGCAAAAGATGAATGTGTTCTGGTTTCCCAAGGTCTGTGTCACCCCAGCAGAGTGTTGCCTAGTTACTTTTATTTCCTTATCTGTCCTATCAAGGGACCATTTATGTTTCTTTTGAAGAATGGCTGCTCCCTTCTAGTGTCCCCATAGACCCATTCCCACCAGGGAGCCAGGAGAGACCTCCAGATTGTGAGAAAGTAGAAGAGACTCTTGTGAGGGAAGGACCTGGGAGTCTATGTGAGATCTCAAGGTCAAGGTGGAGGGAGTGGCTGGGACTGGCCTGTTGCACACAGTAGACCTACAGATGCCCAAAGGACTTCTTCTTGGCTGCCCAGCGTTTGTAGCCCCTCCTTTCTTGTCCCAGCTTATTTCTCTTGGTGGAATACAGAACTTACCTCCCAAATATAGTGGTTTAAAAAATATGGGATGCTAGTGTTCCCATTCTCCTTTGTAGGCAGGGTGCAGATGTGTGCCTCAGAGCCAGTCAGCTCAGAGCCACTGCCTCCATGTTCAGACTTTCTTGGATGTGACTTTGCACTTCCTCCCATTTAGAGGGAAGTCTCTTTCCGAACCCCCTGCACCTATTTGACTTGCTTTAGTCAGTATGAATGAGAGATGATATTGAGCCAGTTATGGGACTGTGCCTTAAGAGGCCATGCATGCCTCTGCTTGCTTCTTCCAAACCTCTGCCTCCACCATGTGATAAGCCAGGGCCAGGGAAGGAGAGGTCTAATGCCCTGAGCCAAGATGTCCCAGTGGAGGCCCATACGTGTGACAGAGCCCAGATAAGATCAGCACAGTTTCTTTTCAGCTGGCTACAGAAACATGAGGCATCCATTTGAGAAGAGAAGAACTGCCCAGCTGAATCAAGCCTATATTTCTGACCCACAGAATTGTGAGATAAATAAATGATCATTTAGGGACTTTTTTATTTTTATTTTTATTTATTTATTTAATTTTTTTGTAGAGCTATATCCAATGGATACACTGACCTTTGGGAAGCCCAGCAATATCTCCCAAGGGCATGGTGGGTGGGTGGCCATTTGGGTCACATTGGGCTGTTCATAAGCTAACCCATCACTAACCTCATTTTTTTGTTAGGAAGGGCTGAAGAAAACCTATATGCTATTGAACTTAATAAGAGAAAGAGGGAAGTAGCCAAGCAGGTACTTCTGTCCTTAGCATCTGTATTGAGGACATTTGTAGTTTCTCTGGTACCACTCCTCTGTCTACTCTGTCCTGACTCTGCTGCTTTTTCTATAGAAGCAGCTGCTGCCCAGCTTCAGCTATGTCTGTATCTCTGAGCTAATGTTTCACAAAAGGTGACTGCAGAAGCAAAGCATTCCTGTCTCTTGCCTGTTCAGCTGGCTTCTGAGCCATCAGGAAGCAGGGGGAACCCACCTTTTTGTTGCTCTAAATGAGAAATTAGCAAACACAGAACAACAAAATTGCCCCAAATTGGAAGGATTAACACAAGGATGCAAGTTGGACTGAACAAAAAATACCATAATCAGGAACAATGGCAGGCAATGAATGAAGGGAAATGAGAACTCCCTGGGTGGTACTCAGAGCCTGGTCTTGGTGTTCCTTCCCCCATAGAAACCTCTTCTCTAGGCTTCCAAGAGGATGTTGTTTATCAAACACTTCCTTCCACTGCTCCCTGCCATAGGGCTGGGTAAGCTCTCAGGGTCAACAGCCTCCTTGCACTCTGGGCAGCCCAGGCCCATAGGTTTCTTAAGGAAAGGAATTTGTAAACCCAGGCTGGCTCCTGACTGGCTCACACCTTCTCTCCTAGATGATTTGATTGCTTTAACTACAGTAACTTAGTGTGAATTCAGAGCAGGGGAATAACTTGGGTCGGTGTGCTTCTGTTATCTGTCAGGTTGGAGAACTAACAGACTTGTTTTAACCTCAACCCCAAGTTAGAACTAAACTCCTCAAGAGGCAGTTTCTCATGGACTGATAGCAGTGTTGGGGTGGTCTGGTTTCTTGCAGATCTGTGTGACTTGCTTTGGGTGGCCATGGCTATGATCAAATGATTCAAGTGAGATATCAGTGGGTATGCAAAAGCTTTGAGATATTCTCAAACTACTCTCCAGAAAGGTTGACAACATCTGGCCCCTCTAAAAATGTGTGAGAGAGCCCACTTATCCAGGTCTTCATCAGCACTGGGATCATCATGAAAACGATGGGTGGGAAATGGTACTGATTGCATTCTTTGATTACCAGAGAGAATATATTACATTTGATATTTGTGTTTCTTCTTTTGTACATTGCTTAAGGCTTTTTTTTTTTTTTTTTTTTTTTTTTTTTACTTTTATCTTTTGTGGTTTTAAAAGCTGATTTTTAAAGAATCAAATGTGTTAGCTATGACTTAAAAAATATGTTTTTATTGATTTCAGAGAAGGGAGAGGAAGAGAGAAGTAGAAATATCAATGATGAGAGAGAATCATTGGTCGGCTGCCTCCTGCACGCCCCGCTCTGGGGATCAAACTCGCAACTCGGGCATGTGCCCTTGATCAGAATCAAACCCAGGATCCTTTAATCCACAGGCCAGTGCTCTATCCACTGAGCCAAACAAGCTAGGGCTTAGCTATGATTTTTTATATTGCAGGCTATCTACCTGCAGGCAGCACCAATTAAAAGGAAACTTGTTAATTCAGTTACCTTTCAATATTAAAACATCAAACAATTGTTTTTCCTACGTGTCACACATCTTTTTTCTTTGGTTGCATTTGGCATTTACTAGTAGCTTTGTGTGTATGGGGTATGTTTTTGCCATTCAAAAAACTTAAATTTGGCATAATTATATTTATTTCTTCCTTCGCATTTTTTTCTTTCAGTGCATACATAGAACTCCTCTACATAAGCTCATACAGATTTCTACTAATTCTACTGTAGTTTTTTCTCTTACAGCTAACTCTTGAAGGCAGCTGAAATTTCTCCTCACTTTAATTCTAGAAAATAGCATTTAAATGATTTGATGAAGTCAGCTCTAAACCTCCTCTCAGGCATCAGGAAAATGTTGCCCAACCATTGTTGGCATCTTGAGAGGCTGAATGAAATTGAAGTCTGTGCTGCATTGACCCAGGGCATCCTTTGGGGTTAGGGGCCAGCTGGACATGTAGTTACCCACTGGCTCCTTGTTGTCTTCCCAGATCATTTCACCAGACCAAGGCCTCAGAGAACTGCTCCAAGCAGGATGACGATACATTAGTCATCCATGCAGGACACTTTTGAGAGTAAAAGGGAGCACCATCAATAATTATGCAAGTGGTACCAAAGCAAGTTACATAGACACCAACTGGGGCTTTCCCAGGCAAACTGAAATGCTTTTACCTTACCTACAGGGGACTGACTCTCCCTCCTCTGACGATTAAAGATTGATGTCTGCTTCATGCAGTGACAGTGGTGTCTTAGCAGCTCACATTACTGGCACCCAGCTTCTGGGTGAGCAAAAGTTGACTGGCCAGACTCTGACAAATAAATATGTTTCTTTCTAAAGAGGAAGTAGGAGCAGGAGAGAATTGAAGAAGAATCAGCATATGTCCAGTGGAAGGTACCGTATTTTTTGGACCATAAGACGCTCCGGACCATAAGACGCACCAGTTTTTAGAGAAGGGAAATGAAGAAAAAAAGATTCTGAAACAAATAGTGTCCTAAAATATTTTATGTGCATTAAAACCCAACATCACAGTCATAAACACATGTAATCAACCCTGTAAAGTAAACAGCAGCATTTAGAACCATTTTAGAGCCGGGCAAGCACACAGAGACCACACAGAGCCGGGCAAGTAAAAAAACTTTTTTTTTTAAAGTATATGTGTAGGCTATATTTGGACCATAAGACGCAGGGACTTTCCCCCCCCCCACTTCTGGGGGGAAAAAGTGCGTCTTATGGTCCGAAAAATACGGTACATTATTCCTAAGAGAAAGGAGGCTTGAAAACATGTCACCTCTGGAAGGGATGCTGCTAAGGGCCAGTTATAGAAGAGGTTAGTTATATAAGAGGAACCAGTTTGCACACTCATGAATCTCTGCTACTGCTGAGTCCAGTGACTGAATTCCTTAGATAAAAATGGCTTCATTTTTTTTTTTGAAAAGGGTAATCTTTTTATTTTATTTTATGTTACATCATTCTAATTTATTTATTAATTAATTTTTTTCTTTATTGATTAAGGTATTACATAGGTGTCCTTTCCCCCATCCTGCGCCCCCCCCCCTCCCCGCTCCCCAACACTCTTGCCTTTACCCCCCTGGTGTCTGTGTCCATTGGTTAGACTTATAGGCATGCATACAAGTCCTTTGGTTGATCTCTTCCCCCTACCCCCACCCTCCCCTGCCTTTTTTTGAGGTTTGATGGTCTGATCAATGCTTCTCTGTCTCTGGATCTGTTTTTGTTTATCGGTTTATGTTGTTCATTATATTCCATAAATGAATGAGATCATGTGATATTTATCTTTCTCTGACTGGCCTATTTCGCTTAGCATAATGCTCTCCAGTTCCATCCATGCTGTTGCAAATGGTAAGAATTCTTTTTTTTTTACAGCAGCATAGTATTCCATTGTGTAGCTGTACCACAGTTTTCTAACCCACTCATCTGCTCCTGAGCACTTAGGCTGTTTCCAAATCTTAACTATGGTAAATTGTGCTGCTATGAACATAGGGGTGTATATATCCTTTCTGATTGGTGTTTCTAGTTTCTTGGGATATAGTCCTAGAAGTGGGATCACTGGGTTTTGTAAAAAGAGGTGATAGCCATGAATATTCTCTCCCCTCGGCCCTGTTTCTACCCTTTCAGCACCAGAGCACAACAGCCACAGGTGCTGAGACAGGATTGACTGTTGCAGGGATTTAAATGATATCATAGCCTCTTGCAGGCTAGAAGAGCAACATGCCTCTTTGGGATTTTCTGCAGAAACATTGCTGCCCATTGCTCTGTGTGTGTGTTGTTGTGCCCCTGCTGTTTCACTTTATTGGATGAAGATGGGGTTGGCGATGGCATCATCATGTCTGGGGTGTAAATGAAAATAAAGCACGCCCTGGGAACAGGTCCCTGCTTTGAGAATCAACTGTCTCATCAGAGAGCAGTTACAAAAAACATTCTAGCCCAGCTGGTGTGGCTCAGTGGTTGAGCATCGACCTATGAACCAGGAGTTCATGGTTCAATTCCCAGTCAGGGCACAAGCCTAGAATGCAGGTTTGATCCTCAGTAGGGGGCATGCAAGAGGCAGACAATCAATGGTTCACTCTCATCATTGATGTTCCTATCTCTCTCTTCCTCTCTGAAATAAATTAAAAAAATACATATTTTAAAAATACATTTCTGGTTAAATCATAATAAGGAGGGAAAGGTTTCTTCATGTCAATTGACCAGGTGGTGGAAATACAATAGATATAGTCACTGACTGTGCAGCCCAAGACCTACTATTCAGGGTTTACTTACTGTTTCAAGGGATATAATTGGAAAGTGAGCACCATATCAAGAGGTAATGGCTCTATAAAGAACAAAAGGTCTTCCTGGTTTCCTCCGGCTGCTGTGAAAAATCATCACAGCTGCAGTGGCTTAAACAAGCCCAGTTTATTCCCTGATAGTCCTGGAGGTAACACGTCTGAAATCAGTCCCGTTGGGCCAATGCCCAGGTGGCAGCAGGGCTGCTTCCTTCTGGAGGCTCTCAGGGAGAAGCTGTTTTCTTGCTTTTCCAGTTTCTGGAGGCAGCCTATATTCCTTGGTTTTCAGCCCATTCCTCCACTGCCAAAGGGCATCACTGCACTCTCTGCTTCTATAATAACATTGCGTCATCTTCTCTGACTCTAACTCTCCTGCCTTCCTCTGACAAGGACCATTATAATTACCCAGG